AAGTCGACAGGTGTACTTATTGTTGCTTGACAATTATTTTTACTTTTCGGCACTCAGTGCGGATAAGGCCTGTATCCGCACTGAGTGCGGAAAAGTGCAACTTTGAGAACCGAAATGCGTGCGGAAAAGTACTACTTTGCGCACGCTCGTAGGAAAAATTATTTACAAGTTTATCGTCTGTTATTTTAATTTTAGTGTGTTGGATTTTCGTGGCATGCAGATGTTTCAATTAATTATTAATTTTTTTGCACTTTTTGTACGTACTTACGTCATCGATGACGTCATGACTTGGAAAAAAGGGTTTGTTTGTTGATTAATTTATAGAGCAGGTTCGGAATTATTGTTTTGTTATGAAAATTTCAACTTAGAGTCATCCGAAAATATCTAAATTTATTAACTGCATATTATACAGGGTGTTCCATCATGTACAAACGGAAAGAGTGATTTTTTGTTTTTTTGTTTTATGAATGAAATTTCAAATAAACAGAAATTTCAATATTTTTTTAGTTTCTCCTTTATAGCCCCTACAATTTTTGAGGGATTCAGCTCAAATTGATTGCACATTTAAACGTTTGCCAGAAACAAAAGATAGTCCAAATAAAGCCATAGCCTACTAGAACATTTCAAAGAAATTAGTTTCATCTATCTAATTAGGTAGGTACAGAGAATTGTTCGTCGGTGATACGAAAAAACTACAAGAGAACCAAAAGTTTATAAATAAGGTGGAAATAGGTATCACCTTGTAGATTCTGACAAACGTTTGCTATGTGTAATGATTGCTCCTATTGCACTCAACCAAATAGTAGCCTAAATAAAAAGAAGTTGTTCTTTGATTTAATGAACAATTCATTAAAATCGGTCCAAAGAACTGCTTCTTTGATCACATGAACTCTACGTTATTAAAGGAAGAACAATTTCTTAATTCCTAGTTCGATTCATCTTGTGTATGAACAACGAACATTGAAGTATGTGGCAAGATTTTTGTATCAATGAAACTTTCCATATTAACAATGAACATCGTTCTTAGTTTATATGTACTTTTTCATTGGCCTGATGAACAGACGGCATAATATTTATGAAGCCCAGATATAATTCGATGAAACCCTTTCATTGTATTTATGAATCAAAGTCTTGAATACTAGGAATTTCATTCATTGTATTTATTAATGCCGTTTTCAATAATATGTACCCTATTCTTTATTTTTATTGAATTATGCCTTAAATATACTTATGATTTTAAATGGGGTACAGGGTCATTTTTTATATTTGCGTGACCCCTGTAGTGGTGAATATGAGCAATAGGAAAAAAGCTTCTAATGCAGAAGTTGTATGATTTCTTCGTATCATCTTCCAGAATTATCAAACAAACCAATATGGGCATCCCAAAATCTGAAAATTCAAAAATCTAAGTACTTATGTATTTTTATTTCAAATGACACTTACTGTATATTGTACTATCTTTGAAATCCTCCTTAAATCCTGTTTCCATAAATATAATACTATGTCTATGTTTGTTCCAGCTGTTTTTGAACTATCAACATCCAAAGTTTCAAAAACAAGCCACGTCAGGAAATTAGATTTGATGTCTTGGCTGGTTTCCTTGCCTCAGCTATGAAACACTAGCTACGGCATTGAATCTTGTGCTTTTCCACCTAGTGAAACAAAACCATTTAACAAAAATATATCGATGAAAAAAATTACAACTTGATTTGAAATTGGGTATACTTACTTTTAGAGACTTCAGTATTCCTTAAAAATTCTGAGGAGCTCTTGACGCTCTTGTCTTTCACGTTCTCCCCGGATGACATTAAAATCTGTAGATCATTTCTCTCGCATTTCCATTTTGAGCATCAAAGTCCTATCTACATAATAAGTATACATATTATGGAGGTAATAAAGGTATACAACTTACCTTTTAGAAAAAACGGCGACAGGTATAACCATAGACAATAATAGTAGATTATACCACGAGTCAAGAATAATAGCCATTATTGCGAGTAGTATACTCTACTTTATTTACGACAAATTAATTTATTTGAGATTTTCAATGAACAAATTTCATCCGTCTCATAATTTTCAATACAAATCCACAAGCACTACACGTTTGTCACTGTCACTTTTGTGGAATAATGACCATTAATCCCGCTACTCGTCATTAATCCCTGGAGGAATAACATATGTCATTATACTGCCAAAATCACAAATATAATACGCACATTATACATTAGTCGTAAATAAAAAATAAAAAGACCTTTAAAAGTATAGCCGAAATAGGTTATACTATTACTGCGCATCCGGTTGCGCATAGCGCATTGCGGAATTTTTGGAAAGCTAGAGATTTACGAAAGATCAGTCCGATCATTCGATTCTGTTTCATCTTTCTCTGTCATACCAATTCACAAGACAAGAACACCGTATGAGTTACAGAGCTTTCCTAGCTGTTTTGTAGAAACCTATCAAACATCCAGAACTATAGAAACTGTGACCGAGAAAGCAAATAAATAACCTTAAAATAACGACATTTCCGTGTTGAAATTTGTCATTTTTAACCGATTGGGCGGTCGTCTAAGAAGACTCGAACTCACAAAATCTAAAGAACAAGAAGAAGAAATTGTTATTTTTATTAATGCACTCGGTATCGCGTACCTATAATATTATGTACAACTAGGATAAACTGAACCAGTAAGTATACATGTTAGTTTTGTGATATATGGCATATTATTTTACTGTTTTAGGAGACCTCAGTCAGAAGAGATAAAATGTAGATGTTAGGCCTTGGCCATCAGCTTAGCTTGTACATACATTAAAGCATGTATAAGGGATGTAATAACTTTGTTTGTAAACTCTTTAGGTATTTGACCTATATAGCTATAATATATATTTTCTCTAGTACAATGTTAGTGTTTATTTTGCCTTTTTTCCAATCTACATCAAAAAATGGCACAAAACTTTATAGAGTACCACATCATTTTTCTCATTCGGATTTGAGAAAAAAAGATGTGGAACAACATAAGTAAGTTTTTTGTGCAATCAACTCAAGTCAAATTTCAAAATTCCCGCCATTTCAGTATTTGTTCCGGCTGCCACTATTGACGCCACCGTCGCTGTGACGTCAGCGCTATACAAACTTTCATGTTATCAATCAGGTACTCTTACCTTGATTTATTATATTTCTCTATGGGTATAACCGACTTTCTATTTAACACCTCGAACAACACAAGACCGAAAAAACTGACTAGAACGAAGTACGTAGCAATGCATCCAGAAAATAGAAATGTAATCATTCTTAATATTTTAACATATTTTTCTATATCGTTGCCCGACTGCAGCTACCTTAGCGCATGTGCTTAGGAACTGTGTACATTAATGCCATGAACTGTTCATTGTATTTATGATTTATCTTGATCTAATGGTTACAGCTTTGTTTCTAGGAATATTAGCTTGTTTTAAATGAACCGTACATTGTATCAATGAATTTCTTTCTTAAAAGGATAAGTTTCTAGTAAGGCTATATGAACCATATTCATATTATTCATATTAATATTCATTCATATTATGAAAATTCCGTGGAAGCTCCATCAAAGAAATTTTCTTTAATATCAGGGTTTGATTTCATAATATCAATGAGCTTAGTTCATGTAACCGATGCACTATTCAACATAGATTCATGTATCTGACTATTCATAACTTACTGAAGCATCATTCTTTATTCCAATGATAGCTGTTCATGAAATCATGATACTTACAGTTTTCTGTACTTAGGATTAATGAAAATTTCACTGAATCAATGAAAATGTAATTGATGAAAGCAGTTCATTGATATTATGATGAAGATTTTTTTGAGTGTGCGTAGGTAATCTAGGTATATACCAAATTTGAGCTAAATCCCTCAAAAATTGCAGAAGCTATAAAGAAGAAACTAAAAACATATTGAAATTTAAACACTCTATAGATCGATAACGAAGCATTTGCGGACCAAAAGTTTGTTTCACGAGGGTTTGTACTTACGTCATTATTTGCCTTCTTTTTAAACAAATAATAAATTACTGAAATAAATTAATGACGTCGTGAACATTCGTCGGTTCTCAAAACCAGAGCTTGTATTCTCGTAGCCGGGGAACGGGATTGCTCTGTCTTTGTCAGTATTATGGAAATAACAATATGGGCGACTGAGACAGAAAAATCGTTCTTTTGAGAACGCTGTTCCCCGGTTACGAAAATACGGGCCCAGAAGCCATTCATTAAATTTGTCAAAAAAACTAGGCACTAGCTGACGTCACACACATAGCCTCATTCGCATTGGGGGATAAACAAAGCGTCACATGACATAACGTCATTTTCAGTGTGTGAGACGTCAACTAGTACCTAATTAATCTACGACAAACTTAACCCTTTTTTCCAAGTTATGACAAGGAACTATATGTTTATTTGAGATTTCATACCTAAAAAACTTATTTGTAAAAAAAGAGGCAAATGATGACGTAAGTACAAACCCTCGGGAAACAAAGTTTTTTTCACGCGCATCATTTACTTTCCATCAAACCCCACCAAAAAAAAAAAAAGTGCTATAGCACCCCTCAAATTTGAAGCCTAGTTGTGCCTATGAGGTTTAGTTTCAAAAGTCTCAATCAATCGAATTTTTAGAGAATTGGAATCGGTACTTCTACTTTTGGACCAGCACGTGCCCAGGGCAGGCACAATCAAGCATTTCATTTACCCCGATCATGCCAAAGATCATGCATATATTATTATAAACTTTTCTATAGTGATCGATTTTTCATTAATTTCGCTGCTAGCAACGCAGGATGTAAACTGCTGGTCCAGTGTCTAGTAAAATTTAACTTACAGTGATTTGAGCAAAAAAAAAATAATTTAATTTGCGAATTACATTTTGCCAGTCCAATCCATTTTCTAGCTATGAGCACTATTATAACGTTTAACTTGCGCGATGTGTATATTTAAAGCTCCTGGCGGGAAGCCTTCGCGTTTAACGGCGGGAGTGTAGACGAAAATAATCACTCGCAACGGTCCTACCTACATTCAGTTCACTTGCTCAGGCAGACGAAATCCAAAAAAAAAAATTTCAATTTTCTTTTGCGTATTAGTTTGTCATGAAAATTTTTAAATTATTGAATAAGTTTCTGGTAGTTTAGTGAGAAAATTTGTAACCAACAATTTGTTCGAAAATAATAAGTGTTTTTTTTTTTTATATTATATTAAATGGAAAAAAATAAGAACAACGAAGTGTCCATCACAAAAGTATCAGTGAAAAAATCTGACGAACTGAAGGTAATTGATTAATTGAATTATTTTATTTATACAAGTTGCATCTTTAGTGTTTATGTTTTGTCAATATTAACAACGCCAATAATTATTGTTATTAACAATATAATATTGGTTTACCTACAAAGTAAGTTGGGCAAATTGATAAATTATTAAGGGTTTGTTTATTTATGGGCGATATTAAAGTAACCTGACATCGCAATAGCATATAAGCAAGCAAAAAGCACAAGCGGAGCTCTCGGTATCCTAACTTGGATGTGTAATATAATCAGGTAAAATGATCCGGCAGATCGGGTAACAGATGGCGTGCAAGCGATATCTATCAGCAGACCTCGTAAATAGTACGCCGCGCCGGGTTATTTTATACCCTTCATCTCGCTATTTTCGCTGTTTAACTATTCCCCTTAAAATACATTTTGGTATTGTATTATGTGTTGTGTAATCAGAGCAATGATAGATTCAGTTTATTACGGTTTTCCTGGAATTTCATACCTATAGGTGAAAAGTTTTTCTCGCATTTCAAAATATTCGTAAATATCATAAACTTGTTTACCAACAAAATGACATCACGTTCAGGAAATTGGTTATTTTTCTCACTTGATGTTGAGATAAGTACTGTTTTTTAGGTCGTGCTTTTCGTAGATTTTGGGTAATGCTTATACAAATGATCCGATTTGAACATATTTTTATCTCCAAGCGGTCTATAATTTGAATTTAATTGTCGTCAACACTTGACAGAAGTGATCCATTATGTATCTACCTAGGAATGGAATAGTATATTAGGTAGAGAAGATAGTCCTTATACCGAGCGCTTCCACAACCCGAGGCGCGAAGGGCCGAGGTTTATAATGCGCAATATGCGTATGATACCAATACAATGACTTTCTCTACCGAGGAATGTAGGAATTTTTTTTTACTACTATTAGTAGAAAAGAAAAGGTAAAATATTTAAAAATCATTGTGTTCAAATCATTTTTTCTGGATGGCTTCCCAAAAGTACCGCCCTCTATGAAAGATGCCGTCAACAGAATTGTTATTGCCCTTTTTGTTTTTCAAACACAAGGTGTTTTTGGAAATGTTGCATTCTGAGATACACCTTGTATCTTGGCTCTCTCATAAGTGATCGAATAACTGAAATTAAACCACTAGAAACCTGATACGTCATTCTATTACTGACCTAGGTTTTTTCATAAGGTATCATTATTAACCTAGAGAAACTATATTTTTTCTCAAAAAAATAGGATTGAAAAATGACTATTTTTCAGGTTAGTGGCCTCCCATTACTATTGTTTTCATTTTTTACGCAGCGTTTTCAACTTGTATTGTATTCTTCAATCGTTTTCAAGCGAATAACAGCACCCCCATAACTACGAACCTATTTTTTTTAAAATAATATGGCAGGTAACAGGTTGGTAATTAGTTCGAGGAAAAAATGGTGGACCGCGACTTATTTGGAATTAGAATATGGATAATCTCTTTTCAAAATTTTTTAAGACTTTAAAGTTTAAGGTGCTCTCTAAGATTGCTTTCCGAATTCTTTTTATTTCAAGGTATCGGGTCTTCAAAAAAAAAACCAATCAAAGATTGCTATGGTTTTTCAAACGTATGTCTTAGCAAAATTTTTCTTTCATTTTGTCAATGAACTTAATGTCAAAATATCATGTCAAAAATCCTGACCAATAAAGAAACAGTAATGCGACGTACGTTTTCGTCATCAAAGCAATCTTCGATTGGTTTTTTTTTGAAGACCCGATATGGTTTGGAACTGTTTTCGTTTTCGCAAATTTAGCTTCACTAAATTTTACTTCAAAGAATGTTTTTTTTTTTGGAATCTGTACATTTTATTTTGTGTTGGTTATTGTTTTGTGCAATGTTTTATTTTATTTTAATTTCTATGGTGAGGGTAGCTCCTGTTAAAATAGATTGACATCGGTAGTTGGAACTGAAGTTCAGGGGCTCCGTCAAGTTAGCCCCGCCTATTAATTTTTTACAAATTTTTTTGTGCTAATTAACTGTGCTCCCAGTGTGCTTTACTGTGCTGCTAATATTAGGAACTGTGCTGATTTGCACTTAATGCTATTCACAAAAATTTGAGGGGGGGCCAACTTGACGCTTAGCCCCCCCGTTTTTTCGATTATTTTATTGAACAAAAGCAAAAATCAATGCAACTTCCAGTGTGCTGAACTGTGCTGCTAATATTTTTAGCTCAGTTTTTCGTTCAACCCTCGTTTTCTCAAAAAACCCTATGGCGGGGCTAACTTTACGCGCAGTCCCCCCCCCCCCCCCCCCGTTTTTTCGATTATTATATTGAACAAAAGCAAAAATCAATGCAACTTTCAGTGTGCTGAACTGTTTTTTTTTTTTTTTTTATTTGTCAAACACATTAGGCCTTTTCGGAAATGCTGATCCGATTAACCGGATCACCAGCTGATATCCTTTGTCTTTTTTCAATCGTATTCATTGAAGGAAGATAAAATATAAACAGCTGGTCATCGGGTTAATCGGATCAGTGTTTCCGAAAAGGCCTATTGTGTTTATTACATTACAATCTAGTCAGTAAGACTAATTAGCAATTTTGTTTTAACCTAATTTACTATAAAGTTTACAATTCTTGAGGTTCACTCAACAGTTTTCCCCACTTTGCTTAAACTGTAAATCACAATTTTGATGTGTTTATAGCACTATTTTGTTGTATTTTCAATTTCAGTTCACTAGCTCGAACGGCTTCTCAGTCTTCTAACTAGCTTAGTGTTGTCTAGGAGCTCAATCACTTCCACATTCACATGCCGATGTAGTCTATCTTCATGGCTTTTTGCGTACTTTCTTATAGTCTCTGTTACAGTATCAATTCCTAGTTCCCGATGTAGATCACTATTTCGAACGTACCAAGGTGCATTAACAATGTTTCTTAGTAGGTACTTTATTTTGGAATCTTTGAATAACTTGTATGTTACTATCTTTAGTACAACCCCAAAGTTGAATGCCATATGCCCATACTGGTTTCAGTATTTGCCTATAAAGCAGTAACTTGTTATGTATGGTTAAATTGGACGTCCTTCCAATTAACCAGTACATTTTTCTATACTTAAATTCAAGCTCTTGCCTTTTTTTCTTAACATGTGCTTTCCAGCGCAATTTCGCATCAAGCGTCATACCAAGATATTTAGCTTGATTTGAATATGGTATAGGGGTGTCATTAATTGTGATTTGTATGTGATTTACGTTTTTGTTTGTAAAATCAACGTGAATTGATTTGGTTTCATTCAATTTTATTCGCCATTTTTTGGTCCAATTTTGAACTTCACTGACAGCGTTCTGCAGTTTTTCTGTTGATTGTTCAATACTTTTTTCCACTGTAATTAAACTAGTATCGTCGGCGAATAAAAAAAAAAAAATTAAAAGGTCAATAATTAAGAGAATTTCATACATCTGTCAAAACTGGTATTCCAACAATAAATTGACACGTTTTAATTGTTGATTTGAACCAATCAGATTGTAATTATGCGATAATTTGCACTAGTGCAAATTATCAGATAATTGCATACTAACTGGTGTTTTGACATTTTTTGACAAAAAATTTAAATTTTTGATTTATGAAATTCTCTCATTAAATACAACTCGTGCAATGGAAATATATTTATAATTTTCCACAAATTTGCACTCATGCGTTTTTAACTGAAAAAGGCACTCGTGCACTTCGTGCAAATTTCCCAAAAATTATCAATAATTTCCATTGCACTAGTTATATTACTATTGAAAATTTAAAAATTCAAAATTAAAAAGTTTTATTTTAAAATTAAAATTAGAATTAATTAGTCAATCACTTAACCGCATAAGACTGATTGCTTTTTCTTAAAATTATTTGTTGTCGTGGGCTCGTAAATTCTTAGTTACTTTTTATTTTTAATTTCAGTCTTTTCAGCAAACCTTTTTTGGAATTGCAAAAGAACAAAAATCTAAATTTAAGTCTTCTTAGTAAATCAAAAAAATTAGAAATTACAAATGATCAAAAATCCAAAATTCTTAACTATGGAACACCAATTACAAAATGTATAAAGAGAAAGGATGTACTTACTAGGCACAATGCTAATAACAGTAGTCTTTCTTCACACGTTGTTTCTTGTTATTCCTTTTACTCATTTAACCAATTCGAAGTGGACAGTATCTGGAACGTTTAACAGCAGCACTGATAATCCAAATTTCACTTTTCCGAAGAATTCACTTTTTCGAACTTCCTTCAGTCTTTTGAAATTTTCGCGACGGATTACGACTGTATCAACTCTCCCACAACTTAAGCACTCTGAGCATCCGAACGACTGCGCCAATTATATTTTCGATTCCGAAACTTGTATTTTAAAAAACATTTATTTTATTGTTTAAAATACAGAGCTGAAAAAAGAAAATATGTGGATCAAATTGCTACAGCAAAAGCCTGAAAACAAATGAACGTTTCTTATATAGCAATTTGATGTTTACTTTACAATAATGTATTCAAAAAGTCATAGAGAAAAGGGGTAAGCACATTAAAGCATATAAAAAATGGATACTTGTTTAAAAATCAGCGTGGCAATTGGTTAATATAACTACCTTATGCAAGTGTACAAACATTTATAGTAAAATCAAACTCAAATAATACAGGGTGTTCCCAAGAAACGATAGGGCTTTAAATTTTCTGTTTACCAAAAATTAGCTAGTCTCTTGATTGCGAATTATTGGGGTTTCTCATCAAAAGTATGCATACCTGGATTTTGTTTCTTAATATGTGTTCCATCGACAACTCCAAGAACTCTTGGAAATCGAGCAATATCATGAAACCTAATTTGCTCATCTCTAATATTCTTCTTCTGACACTCAGACAATTATTCTCGATACTGTAGAAGTATCCATACCTCCAAAATCAGCTGAAAAGTTTAGATGGCCCCCAGTTGCTTAATATCTCAATGTAATCAACAACTGGTTGATAGGAGATACACTATTGTTCCTAGGATATCAAATATATCAGCATA